TTCCTCTATGCCAAGTTTCTGCAGAACAACCAATGGCATCGGATTTATGCTTGCTCCCAAGTCACACAATGCTCTTCCCACAGTGCAGTTTCCTATTTCATAAGGAATGCTAAATGATCCAGGATCTTTCAGCTTTTGAGGAAGCTTTCTCTTGAGAATGTCACTGCACTCCTCTGTCAAAGGTACTGTTTTATCATGCTCTAGCTTTCTTTTTCTGGAAAGTAGTTCTTTCATAAACTTTGCATATGAAGGCATTTGCTCCAAAGCTTCTGCAAAAGGAATGTTAATTTGTAATTTCTTAAAGACATTCATAAACCTTTCAAATTGTTCCTCTTGTTTAGGATTTTGGACTCTTTGAGGATAGGGCAGCCTCTTGTATTTTTCGGGATCTATTGGCTTACAAGCTTCCTCAAAGAGTTGTTTTTTGGTTTTCCTCTCAGAATTCATAGGAACATCTACTTTTTCTTCTGAATGGTCTTTCTTCAATAGCTTAAAATTTCCTTGTTGCAGATCTTGTTCAATTTTTCTCTCTGCTGCATCATTTACTTTCTTTTCTGCTGGTTTAGGACTTGCAACTACAGCTTCACTCCTTGTAGTTATGGCTTGACATTGCTCTTTAGGATTGATTACTGTATTGCTTGGAAATCTTCCTTCATTTCTGCTGGATAGTTGTTCAACTAATTGTCCGATTTGTGTTTCTAGTTTCTTCATGGAAGCTTCTTGGTTTTTGAAGCTTGTTTGAGTCATCTTCATGAATTGCAGCATAGTTTCTTCCATCTCAGTCAACCTCTCATTCATAGGCTCAGAAAATTTCTGATTTCCTTGAGGTTGAGTGGATGAATTCCTCTGAAAATAAGGCTATTGTGTTGCTGGACCTGCATTAGAAAAAGGCAAATTTGAGTTAGAATTCTTTGCAGCAGAATATTGATTATTCCAATTAGAATATTGCTGAGTTCTATTATTCGAAAATTGAAATCCAGGGGAATATGATGGCTGTTGTCTCTGAAAATTATTCATATAATTCACTTGCTCTTGTGGTTCACTTGTGGATGCCTCACATGCACCATTTACATGGTTTCCTCCACAAAAATTACAACTTAGCTGACTGGTAGGCATACTCTCTGTTTACAGATTGCTGATTTGTTGTGTCAAGGCAGCTAATTGTTCTGAAAACATTTGATTTTGTAGCTGATTCTGTGCAAGAAAAGTTTCCAGAACCTTAGCTTCATGACCAGAATTTCTTCCTTGATTTCTTGAGTTTGAATTCTGATACATTGAAGATGTCATCATCTTAATAATTCTCTGAGCTTTTTCCAAGGACTTTGTATTTAATGAACCTCTAGCAGCAGCATCAACCATTGTTCTTGTTACTGCATTCATCCCATTATAAAAAGTTTTCAATTGCATCCAATCTGGAATACAATGATGTGGACACCTTCTAAGCAATTCTTTGTATCTTTCCCAAGCTTCATACAATGATTCTCCTTCTTGCTGCACAAAGGATGTAATTTCTCCTCTCAACTTAGCAGCTTTGGATGGAGGGAAGTACTTAGTTAGAAACTTATTCACAAGTTCTGTCCAGGTTGTGATGCTTCCTTGTGGTTGAGCTTGTAACCAACATTTTGCTCTATCTCTCAAGGAAAAAGGAAATAGTCTTAATCTGATAGCTTCTTCACTAACTCCATTCATTCTTATGGTGTCACATAGCTGCAGAAAATTTGAAATATGTAAGTTAGGATCATCAGAATTTCCTCCAGAAATCTGATCCTGTTGGACTAAATGTAGTAGGGCAGGTTTGATCTCAAAATGGTTGGCTTGAATAGTTGGCCTAATTATAGAAGAGTTAAAGCCTAGCATGTTAGGAATAACATAGTCCCCTAATGTTCTAATTATGTTCTGCTCTGCCATTTCTATTGCTGGATTTGGTTGTCTCAAAGGTGTAGATGTTCTTTTCACTCTAGGATTACTCTGAAATTCTGGAGAATGGACAACTTCTAATTCACTATCACTCCCTATGGCTTTTTCTGCTCTAGATTCTTTTCTCAATCTTCTCAAAGTTATGTCTATGTCAGGATCAAAGACTAGAATTGATTTATTCTTGTTTTTACCACGCATATACAAATCAGATTAAAGCAAAATTAGACTACAATTGATATTCAGAAATGCACAACAGAAATCATGCAAAATCTATTAGTAAAAGCATATAGAAACTTAAATCTAGCATTTACAGAATTGTAAAATCATGTAAAAATATGCAGAATGGCAATTACAAATATGAAGAACAAATGAAACTGAAATTATGCAGATAAACAAGGATGTAAAAATTCTATGCAGCAGACAGAAATATTATGCAAAATACTACACAAGGTGCAGTGAAATTATGCAGAAAGCAATTTGAAAGCAAAGCAACAAAATAAATGCTCAATCTAGTTACTTTTCTACTACTAATGATATTGAAATGCAAAATTCCCCGGCAACGGCGCCAAAAACTTGTTCGCAATCTACACTAGCTAGTGCACTAGGATTGCAACAAGTAATGAGTAAATTTAAGATCCAAATATCGTCTCCACAGGGAATTTAGGTTTCAAATAGTACTTCATAGAATTATAACCATTTAAGCTTTTTCAAAATTGGAAGGAGAGTAGTAACATGTAATAATAGCAAACTAGAACAATTAAAAGTAAAATGAACTTGCAGAAAACAGAACAATGAACACACAGTTATGTGATAACAGAGGAAGAAACCATAGCTAGGGAATTGCTTCACCAAAACTCCAATGTTTAATCAATAAAGTTCTGAATTAACAAGCAATTGGAAAGAATGACAATCAGTTTCACATTATATTTTTCAGAGGTTAATTCCTTAACTCAGTGAACCTAACATTCAATTAAATCATTCTAATTCCTTAGATCTGATTCAATTCAATATTGCTTTAAGTGTAAGAAACCAGAAGATTGCAAAATCAAAGCCTCTTATCCCTAAGAAAACTATAATCTCGGTGATTGGTTCAGATCTGAAGAACAAATTCAATTTCCATTGACAAGAGTTCCTCTGAATTTAGTTAATCAAATTTCCATTCAATTTCCACGTGAAGTTCAGAATCAATCACTCAATCTATTCCAAAGCTTGAAATTCAGATCCAAATCAATTCAACATGTTCGTTTCAGATCTACAATCCCTAACTATGAACGAATTACACAGCCATGGCAGTAGAGGAAAGAAAAGAAAGAGAAGAAGAGAAGAAGAAACTCAAAAATGCCATGGAAGCTTGCTCCACTTCAATTCCTTTTCGTGAAGCTCCAAGATTCGAATCCCCACTCCTCTCTCTCACTTCCTCTAACAAGAAGCTAACTAAAAAAAACTGAAAATGAACATAATCCCCTTTTTTTCGGATCATTTCTAGTATTTATAAAATTTCTCAGATTTTCACATCATCACTTTTATGAGAAATAGTAGTTACGCAGAGAGTTTTTGGTTGCGTGTTAACACTTTTCCCAGAAATAGTGGCCACGCGCATTTTCCTGATATTGAGAGCTCTCTGGAACTATCACTCTTGATGATAAAAGTGACAACGCAGAGCCAAGGTAGTTGCGCGTTATCACTATTGCTGATAAAAGTGACTACGCGCAACTCGCCAAGTTGAAGACTCTCTGGAACAATCACTTTTGATGACAATAGTGGTTACGCAGAGCTTTCCTGATATTTTGCCTCTCTGGAACTATCACTTTTAATGATAAAAGTGATAAAAGTGGTTACGCAGAGCTTTCCTTCTTCTTTGAGTTCTGAAGTGATCACTTTCACTGACAATAGTGATCACGCCCAGTTTGCAATTTCTTATTCTTGTGTTTTTGGAGTCCAGACTTGCTTCTTTCCTCTTCCTTGTCATCAAACCTCTATGGATATGATCCTTGCTCAATTTATTCCTTCAAAAACAAGATTAAAAACTTAATTCCTAAGCAAAAATTTCACAATTGCTAAAATAACTACAAATTTAAACAAACTTCAATTCCTTCTCTTTTTCGAAGTTTTTCTGCTTTCTTTATATATTTTTCTTATCAAATGTGTTAGAATTATGCTAAAATATTAGTCAAAATATGGATTCATCAACGACACCCATCGCCACCACCACCATCCATTTCTCGTTCACCACCATCCACCATTGGCTGGATTGATCGCGATCCGGACAACTTGCCGCATTCTCCTCGCCCTCGGCCAGCGAATTTTACGTGTAGACTTTTCTTTTATATAGTGATGGGTTGATACTGCTTATAGGACTTTACTTTTAATTTTGAGATACTATACTTTTGGGGTTTAATTTTGCTACTGTAATTACTTTGGACTCTTTGTTTTGAATGATTTTTGCCTCATTCCTCTCATATGATTGATTTCTTTACGCTCCTCAACTCGATTTTAGAATTTTGCAATACAAATATACGTATTCTTATCATTTAATGTGAGATTGTATTATGAATGATGGAATAGTCCAATGATTGATGATAATGTGAGGGGATAGAGAGGATTGTTTGTTGAGCTGTTATTTAAAAAATAAAATAATAATAGATAAATTTTATGGTCATGAAAATTTCTCTCAATGGTTTGTTTGTGTGTGATGTTGGGCTGAGATAATACTAAATTGTACAGGGAAACGATTATGATATGAAATTTTTATTTTTGAAATAAGCTAATATTAAATAAGGCATGAGTACTCGAAGATGATTCTTTTATAATGATGTTCGGAGATGTTGAATAAATAGACTATGCTGATAATTGGATTTGGACTGACTCCATGTTTGTATTCGTGTTGACTCTTTATTTTATAAAGATTCTTATAAATTAGGTGTTATACAAGGTATAATGTAAAAAAAAAAAAATACTAAACAAGAAATTAATTTTTAAATTATACTAATTGAGAATTTGTTTTTTAAATTATATTATTTAAGTAAAAAGAAAAAGAAAAAAAAGAGGCTAATATTAATATAGGAAGGGTTTGGGCGGTCCCTGAACGAATAGAGGATTGGATCGAGGCATAAAAAGCGCCTCGTTAAATCGCCAAGGAAGGGCTCTGCCTCTGGCTGTGTATTTGGAGGGTGACATCCTGCCTCGTCAGCCACCAATCTTTGAAGTCCACGTGACACTCATCCCACGGCTCGGAGCCTCACACATCCCACGGTCCCCATTCCATTTTCTAGACCCTTCCATTCCCTCAGCGCTGAGAGAGAGAGAGAGAGGAGAGGTCAAGCTCTAAACCAGGGTTAGTATTCTAACCAGCCGGGCTTCCCGCGTTTGGTTAAAGAACCTTCTGATCTGATTCGGAGAGGAGGAAAGAACCCAGAAACCAGAGAGGGTTCCATCATCGCTGCTTCCATTGGACAAGGAATCATCCGAGTCAACTAGGACGAGTCCCTCCTCACCATCTTCTTAACTTCTCCGGTCCTCCCAAAATTGCGGCGAGTTCGCAGCTTCAGCTCATTTCCAATTGAACATTTTTCTGCTTCTGCGAAACGATGCCTTTCGATCTTGCCCAGTAGTCATGTGGTATTTCCATTTCCATTTCAACCTTCTTCTTTTTCAGTTGTTTCCAGCAATGTTTTCATTTCTCTCTTTTCAAAGATTCTTTGGGGAGTTTTCTCTGCTAAAGGGCAAACTTGTTTCGGTGGTTGTGAAGGATTTTATTTTTTCGAGGGTTTACTGGCTCAAATGACTTATTGAGGGTCCATCCAGTCTTGCAGTTTCTTTACATTTTCGGATTTTTTCTTGGGTTCTTGAATTTTTACGGAGAAAAAATTTCCTTTCCTGGTTTTGGAGTTCTTACGTTCTTTCTGTGAGGCGTTAAATGCTTGTGATTCTGTTTATTTATTTACTTTTGTTTCCTTGATGTTTGTCTGTTTGTTAATTGATATTCGTGCTGCTTGGGATTTTGTATGTGTTAAATGCTTTCTACAGTAATCATTAGATGCTAAAACTGAAGAGTGCACTAATCCCGTGTTTTTTAAAATGGCTTGAAATTGCCTGTTCATAAAATGGTTATATATTTTACTGCAAATTAATTGAATTAGACTTCGGAGATTTCTTGTGTATTTTCTTTTTGTCTCGCTGGCTTTGATTTGTGATGTGCTGTAAATTTTGATGGAATCTCTGCAGATTTTTGTTCTGCCATCTTGACATGATGGCCTCCATGTAGCGGTCTGCTCGAATCTATCTCCATTCCTGGTCCAGTCCTTCGCTCTGGGATCTCTTGTAAGATTGGATACTTCCTTTGTGATTAATGATCATTGGGAAACTAGAGATTTGTCTCAGACAATTGCCACTAGCTCTGGAGTTTGGCTATTGTTGGGAAGGGAAGAACCTTTCTTCCTCTTCTATCTCTGTTGCCCTCTGCAACAGTCATCTGATCACAGCTGCAGTTCATGTCGCATAAATTGGACAGTCCTGTTCAAACCCAGATGGCTGTGACCTTGTTCAGGAGTCCGCTTGGTCGGGAGTACCATGAGAACAAGAGCATGGAAGGGAGGCAACCTACTGGGAGGAGACGGGTTTTTGTGCAAACTGAAACTGGTTGTGTCATGAGCATGGAATTGGATCGTAGTGACAATGCGCATACAGTGAAGAGGAGGTTGCAGGTTGCCCTTAATGTGCCAACTGAAGAGAGCTCACTAACTTTTGGGGATGTTGTCTTGAAGAATGACCTTAGTGCTGTTCGGAATGACTCTCCCCTTCTTCTTACTCGGAACTTTATGCACAGAAGCTCATCTACACCATGCCTGTCACCTACTGGACGGGATATGCAGCAAAGGGACAAGAGTAGTCCTATTGAAATATTGGGGCAATCTAATCGCCTTGATAGAATGAAACATATGATCGAGGATATTGTGAAGGCCATTAAGATGGGGATGGATCCAATTCCTGTTCACAGTGGGCTTGGAGGTGCATACTATTTCCTGAACAGCAGAGGTGAGAGTGTTGCAATTGTGAAACCGACAGATGAAGAGCCTTTTGCCCCTAACAACCCAAAAGGTTTTGTTGGTAAAACCCTTGGACAACCAGGTTTGAAACGTTCAGTTCGGGTGGGGGAGACAGGGTTCAGGGAAGTTGCAGCTTATCTTCTTGACTATGATCATTTTGCAAATGTGCCTCCAACTGCCTTAGTAAAAATTACACACTCAATCTTCAATGTGAATGATGGAGTCAATCGGAAGAATACCCAAAGGAAGAAGCTAGTTAGCAAGATTGCATCCTTGCAAGAGTTCATACCTCATGATTTTGAGGCGAGTGATCATGGGACATCTAGCTTCCCAGTTACTGCAGTGCATCGTATAGGGATATTAGACGTTAGGATTCTTAACACGGATAGGCATGCTGGCAATTTGTTAGTTAGAAAACTTGGGGCTTTTGGTCAGGTGGATTTAATTCCTATTGATCATGGGCTTTGCCTTCCTGAAGCCTTGGAGGATCCGTACTTTGAGTGGATTCATTGGCCTCAGGCTTCAATTCCATTCTCTGAGGATGAACTTTCTTTCATTGAAAATCTGGATCCTGCTCGGGATTGGGAGATGTTACGCACAGAACTGCCCATGATTCGAGAGGCTTGTTTGAGAGTCTTAGTACTCTGCACCATTTTCCTTAAGGAGGCTGCTGCTTATGGTCTGTGTCTTGCTGAAATTGGTGAGATGATGACTAGGGAGTTCCGCAGCGGTGAGGAGGGACCCAGTGAACTGGAGGTCGTTTGTTTGGAAGTAAGAAAGATGTTGACGGAGAGGGATGAGCCATCACCCAGGACTGACCTGAGAGATGATGAGTTCCAGTTTGACATAGACTGTGATGAAGTTGGATCAGATTGCTTTCAAAAGATGACAATAGATGATTATCTAACCAGAGCACCTTTTCAGCTGGCGCTTGGAAGTGGGTATTCTCGCAGTCCACTTGCAAAATTGGATGAGACTATTGAGGAGGGGGAAGAGGAAAGTGTTGGAGAATATCCTCAGGATTTTGACACTTTTTCCTCTCAGGAGACAATCCGAGCGGTTTCAAAACTTTCTGTGTCAATGAAAAATACCAAGTTATGTGAGACAAGCCTGAAACATCAGAAATATTCAGGAGGAAAAACAGATAATGGCTATTTTGGGAATACATCATCTGGTCATAGGAGTGCCAATGAGCAACTTCCTGCAAGCACAAGCTTTGTGAAACTGGCAGATATGACTGAGGATGAATGGACAACGTTTCTGGAGAAGTTTCAAGAACTGCTGTATCCGGCATTTGCCAAGAGGAAATTTATTACCTTAGGTCAGAGGCAGAGACAGAGGCTTGGTACATCGTGCCAGTTTTGAAGTTGAGCAATACTTTGGTATGATATTGAATGAAGAATAAGGCTTTTATAGGTTTCTGGGAATGAAGGAGTGTTAGTATAATACTTCTAGTTGATGAGATTTGGATGAGTGCTGTAGTTGAGAGTGAGGCTAGGAAGAACTGCTGTAAATATGCTTAGCATCAACTAAGTGGTAGGCGGAGTAGAATTGGTTGTATTTTGATTTTATGATTTCATTTTTTTTACCTATGTTCCTGTTCGCAAGACTTGTCTCATAAATAATTTGTAGGATAAAAAATCGTGAAATGAAAAGTATGTATATAATGAATGCCTTGTACCCTTTTTATTTTTAATTTCATCACTTAAGTATGGTTGGGAATTGATTGGTTTTGAGAAATAATTATTTCTTTTAAAAAATTTCTTTAAAAAGTCAAGTTTTTTATTTTTTATTTTTTATTTTATCTCGAAGTTAATTCAACCACGAATTGTGTATAATTTTATTCTCATGAAGGACTACATATTTGGCTGAAAATAGTAATCATAGTTAATGCATTACTTTCTGCACTTCGGTGTGTTTTCAGAGCTGGTGTAAGATGCAGAAAGGACACCAATCTTGTTTAGGTTCTCGCTGTGTGAATTTCATGGGTCTACTGTTCAATTTTCTAAGTAGTCAGATGAGATTATCTTAAAACACATTTCTTTATAGGATATTCGATAAAGGGTTAAAACAATCATTTTTTTTTTTACAGATAACTGTTAACTAATTTCAACGTTAGATGCATTTTTAGTCTAGTCACTCTTTCTTGGTTTTATTTTTCATCTTAATGCATGTCTGATAAAGCCCCGAGTGGTGGGGTTGAGGAATCAACGTTCAGCACTCGGCAGTCATTGATTATCAGGAATGGATTTAGTTTTCTTTTTCTTTTCATTTTGTCGCCCTTTTGCTTTGGGTTGTGCCTCTTCAAAGTCCGGCTAAACCGCCCACACGTATTGCGGACATATTTGTCAGTCACATCGCTTATCGACTCACACTTGGCTGTCATCAACATTCTGAATTATTTTTTGCGCAAGAAATGATTTTTTATACATTTAGCAGAATATATTTTAGGGACTTTTAAAAGAATATTTTTTTTTATCTAAGATTATATATATATATATATAGTGAAAGCAAGATAAGAGAGTAATGGATTGTTTTGACCAATATCTTATGCACGCAATAATATTTAATAGAAATTTTTTTAAAATATATTACTTAAACAAAAATATAAAATAAATTTAAGTAGTCTAATTTCAGAAAATGATTTATTTTGAACCTATTAAATTTTAAAAAAATGACATTAATACAACCAGAGTTAAAAATAATTTTACGTCAAATTAAGATTAAATATTATATAAGATATTTAATTAAATAATTTTGAATGATATATTTTTTAAGAATAAGATTTTACAATAATTATATATTATATTTATTTTATATATAATATTTTAAAATTTTGAATGAAAACTAGTTAATTTGCGTGTAAATTATATCTGTGTAGCATACATATAGTTTATAAAAAAAATATACAACAACTAAACACATAAAAAGTAAACAAATAAAATTAAAAAAAGACTATACATAATGTATAAAGATATTGTCATGTCTTCTCTTTTTCATCTGAAGTCAATATTTCAATCTTTTTTTCTTTTTCACTCTTAAAATATATAATTGATCATGGGAGAACATTGGCTATAATAAGTAAAGACTAACATTAGAAAGTTTGTCCTTAACTCTTGTTAATATTCATTGCAAACAAAGAGTTAAGGAAATTTTCCTTCTTTGAAATTAAAAAGGTAATCATGATATGAAGGAACTAAATTTATACTTAGCATTAACATTTTTTCACCGATATTCCTTCCTATAGTAATATTGGCTGCAATTATATTTTTCCCAATTGATTCACAATTATCTAGTTACATTGCATAATCCATTTGCTTTATCTATATTCCTTAAAAGCATGACTGAAACACTTGTCTTCAAAATTAATCTATAGTTTAGAATTCTTGAACACTTAATTTCATTCAACAGTTTAGTTGTGAACTAATCATGTTTTGATTTGATATTTTCATCAAATAAGCATGCTGAATAATAACTTGGATATTGTCTTTCTTTTCTAAGCATTAGGATAGAATAAATTTATTTACTATCTCAACACTTTTCAAAGTAGGTGCTAATATTTTTCTTTGTTCAAAGAATTTAAAATCAGCATAATTTTCTATTAAATTTAGATATGCAGAGTCAACTAATTGCATAAGACTATTATCTAATTCAAGAATCAAGAATGATGAACTCTTGGACTTTGAAGTGTACAAACTTCATCATCATTAACTCCAATTTCTTCATCCCCAATTTGAAGAATCTAATCTACAAAAACCTTTGTTGCAATTTGAATTGAAGTATTTTCTACTGTCAGTGATAATCTCATAATTTTTGTTAACTTGAGTACTTTGCAATTTGACTGAAGATAAGAAGAGTTCATAGTTGTTGAAAGAACATCTTTTCGCAAGTACCTTTTAGAATGACTGGAAGTATTTGTCTGAAATCTCCTCCTAGTATAACAACTTTTCCTCCAAAAGGTTCATTCATACTGTTTAGAATTTTTTACTCTTATTAAATCTCTTAATGTACAATCTAGAGCTTCAAAGCAGAATATATTAAGCATAGAAGCTTCATCCCATATGATTAGACTTGTGTTGATTAATAGATTTGCTGTTGATGTGTAAAAACCAATCACTGGGCAAGTGTACCCACTGTCAAGATAGTATTGTGAAAAATAGAGTACCAAATGTCGTATCCACAGGGACTGTTATTACGGATTGTTCCTTAATTATGCAATTTTTAATAGATATAATAAGGAAATTTTGTTGATAAAACTACTGTATTAAGAGAACAATAAATTAAAAGAAACAGATTTCTTATGCTACTGAAATATGAAAAAAAATATATAACTAAGTGTATTCAAGAGAAGTAAGCAAGTATCTAGATTGTAAATTCTCCTAAGTTTTCAAACTAACTGAAATTCTCCTTCCACTATTTTAGTTCTAAACCCTTATCGCTGCATGAAATTCTGAATTAAACCAATACCTTTCTCAAAGATAATGACTCCTAACTCTCGGTTGATTAATCAGAATCTCTTCCTTAATTCATACCCCTAGGTTGCATTACGTTCATTATGAATTTCATAATTAGGGTTATTCCTAATACAGAAAACTTACGTCTTTCTATCTCTAGAAATACATTCAAGTCCCTTTAATTGAGCAATGTTAAATTCATGCAAGATTTTTACTCAAAATCAAACAAGAAAATAAGATAGGACAATTGATACTACTCAATTAAACCCAAGAGAATAAAACATGAAATAGCATTAAGAAGAATTCCAGAAAGTTGGTCACATAAGATTCATTACGTCTAGATATTCAAAGGAAAATTAGAACCTAAACATCTTGAAACTAAAATTATAAAAGAGATGAATAAAATTGCTTGATCCCATCCTCCAGCCGTCTCTGAGTTTTTCTTCACCTCAAAACAGTCTCCCTTAATTCTGTGTCAAGTTTTCTTTCTATAGGAATCGTCCTAGGGCTTATCTTTTCGCAGAAGTTTAAATTCTGATGCACGTGAAAGTACACGGCCATGTACTTTGGTCGTGTACATCGCTGGTCTCTGATAATTACACTTCACAACTTTCTTGAAAAGTACACGCCTATGTACACGGCCATGTACTTTGACCATGTACATATCTGGTTTAGAGGATGCCTTTCAATTGACGACACTAGTAATATACACGTTCATATACAGGGGCGTGTACTTGCCCGTGTATATCTCTGGCTTGATTGTTTACTTGATTTATGCATCCAGTGAGATACACGCTCATATACACGGGTGTGTATCTTTTCATGTATATCTTTGGTCCATTTCTTTCTTCATTTCTCAATATCTTTAAAGCTTTCACTTCTTGATCTTTTTTTCCTGAAATATGAATAAAATGAAATTAATAATAGTAAATTCTCTCAATGAATAGCTTAAAAATCTCAATTATTATTCATGAATTACAGTGTAGGATCAAGTATATAAAACATTTATCAAATTCCCCTGAACTTGAACGATTGCTTGTCCCCAAGCAAAGAATTGGATCAATTTTACCCTTGACGACAAAGAATCAAATTCCTGAATTTTTATTATTGTTATGTTTATTTTATTTTTCAAATTTATAGAGGGACAGTAATTCTTAAACATCAAATTGCGCCTTCTTTTTCTCTCAACCTTCGTAACTTCAGACAGAACTGAAGGTATTAAAATTCAAATTTATAGAGGGACAGTAACCTCTCTACCATTAGTTCTTAAAATTCAATTCAAAACTTTGAATCCTTCCATAAGGTATTGTTTAATTCTCTTCACTTTGAGGCATGATCGACTAACTGTTACACTTTTTTCTATTGCAGCACTTAAATGGTGTAATTTCACTACTAGCAAGTGTACTAGGTAGTTGTAGCAAGTTATAAAATGTAAAAATTAGATTGAGTCCTAAATATCGTCCTCTAGGATCTTATTTTTAATCACCAATTCACAAGATAATAACCATTTGTACCAAACAATTCATTGAACAGATTTCAATATGCAAGAAAGTAAATTTCAGAATTAAGGAAATGAGAAATTGTTAAAAACAGAATGTTAACTTGTGCTATAAAAAATGAATCACGAATGGAAGAAAGTTAGGAATTTATTTCACTAGAATATCAATATCAATTCAGTTCTGCCTCTGAACATTCAAGCATTTGATTGATTGACAATCGGTTTCTCTTTACAATAACCAAAGATTGATTCCTTAACTCATTGGTCCTAATATTCAAACAAATCTCCCTAATTCCTTAGGCCAAATTCAGTTCAATATTGCATTACGAATTAGAACCAAAAGATTTTAAAACTAAGACCACTTATCCCTAAGAAAATCAAGAGTTTTGGGAATTAATTCAGATCTAAGCAACAAACCCAATTTCCATTAGTGAAGGTTACTCTTTGATTAATCAATTGAATTTCCATTCAAAAATCATGTAAACACAGAATTAATTCCTCAATCAAATCAATTACTCAAAGTTCAGAGTCAAAATGAAATCAATATATCAATTCTAGATCCATAAATCCCTAATAAAAGAGTTAGAAACACATTAAAATGAAATGGAGAGAAGCAAGAAGAAAAGAAGATGAAAAGCAGAGAGCTATCTCCATAACTTTGCCTTCTCCCAGATTCCTTTAGCAAAGAAGAA